AATTCTTTTGTGCTCTCTGGGATTCTGCCTGCCTCAGTTTCTCCTGAAGAGTTGTGGAGATCCAAGAAGCAGGAGGCAGTCTGTACTGCTGTACCTACCCTTCTGCTGCCTGTACATCTTTCTGGATGTACAATGGACATGAAGGGAAGCTGTCCTATGATTCTTGACCCCATCATTCATTTAGAGACAATACAAAAGACAGCAAAGAAGAGGAGGGCTGGAGGATAGTATAGAGATGATCTATGGACAAAGTGTCATCAAGCAAATCCATTCCTCTAGCTAAAGGGGTGGGAAGGGAACCGCCCAGCCCTAAGCCTGTGAGGGGCTGCTGCACAGGACTTTGAAGCATGTTTCAGCCAAACTTCAGAAAAGATAGAACAGAGTATGGACTCCGGGGTCCCTCTTGTCTGCAATGTGAGGTTGGATGTTGGAGATGGCCACTGCTGGACCCCAGTGTGTGGTCAGGGCAGGTGGCATGTGAGTGTACCAATGTGGCCATGTGAGAGAGTGAGCTGGACGAGGCTCGATGTGGACTCCAGGTAAAAGGAGCTCCTGGAGGTGGGAGGGAACCTTAGGAGGCAGCAGCCATTTGGGCTGGTGGGGACTGCAGAAGGTCTTGCACATAAGCCTCATAGATCTGTGGAATTACAGGAGAAAGGGCCTGGTGGGAAAGCAAAAAACAGCAAAACCAAACCAAACAGCAGAACAAAATGAAACAAAACACTCTGTATCTGTGTTTGGTCCGTAAAGGGACTCTGAGAACTGTCAGTTACCTAAGGGTTAACAGAAGATTCCTAGGACTGTTGGGATTTGCATCAAGGGGCAGGGAACATTCCACCTACTCCATACACATTAAGCATTTGTGTGGCAAGAATAAAGATGTGATTTGAGACTCCACAAATCATGTGTGTTAATCACATTAGATGTTAGATGCACTGTTCTTTCCCCAAGGATCAGAGATGATAGGAAGTTAGCAAAGACGTTTCCAGAGGAAACCCAAACTATCTTTCATTTCCATTGGCCAAGTTTTATGAGAATCCACACTAATTGGTGAGTGTTGCTTCTTTTTGTAAAGTTTGGACACCAGATCTCTTCTGGCCACAGGTGTCATGCCAAGGGCTTCTCAGAATGCCCTGGGGTAGATTTCTGATTTCTCCATTCTGTCCATCTCTACCCCCTCTACTCTTTAGGCTGACTGTTGGTTCCTTCCAGGGTGAGGTGGGAGGATGGCAAGAGGGTAATGACTTGTAGGAAATCCCATAGGACTCGTGGTCATTCAATAAGGAAGTCAAGGCATGGAAGGTGGAGTTAACAAGCTCTTTGACCGATAAAGGGAAGAGTTCAGGCCCTCCTGAGCAGATGCCAAGTGGTGCTGTGTTGGGAAGGAGTAATGAAGTCTTCTTCTTCAGTGTCTTTCTCTGGCTCCTCCCTGAGATCTCTAAACACACAGGGCTGTTTGTTTAGGTGTGTTTCCCTTTGCTCCTTAGAAACTTTTTTTCCCTGTGGAAGAAAACACAAGAGCCCGCAGCTGAAGCCTGGGGAGGGAGATGGCGGCGTGCAGTGGCACTAGCAGGCCTGCAGATGAGACTGGCGAGTGGCATAAGGACATCCATGCACACGACTCCTTGCACTAAGGTGGAGGAGCAAGACTGCCATGGGGACCTGCCCTGTGAGGTTGCAAAAGGAGGACCTTTGGCAGCACTGGATGTACATGGTAAAGAATGTCTCTCTCCCAGAGTCAGACTTGCATCAAGCTTGGATTTCCTTGGTGCTATAAATGCTTTTCTTGTTTCCTTTTCTAGGTGTTCACTCTAAAGCCAGTCTGCTCTACACCTGCCCCCAGGAGCGCTAGAACGTCTTGACATGCTTTGGATCAGCTGCAATCAGCACGATTTGCCAGGAAAGGGAGAAAAGAGATAGGAATGAAGGTGGAGGAGCTAAGCAAATTATTGATCTTTTCAGAGATCTTTGAGAAAGCAGGAAATAAATAAGTCAACAAAGTGAGGAGTGTGTAGGCAACTGTGTTAGACGCCCCCTTTTCATTATCTGAGTACATACAGCCCTGGAGCCAGCAGCCCTGTTTGAATTCCAGCTCCACCTGTCACCAGCTAACAACCTCGGGTTGGCCACTTTGATCTGTGCCTCCCTTTCTGCATCAGTCAAGTGAGGATACAGATGATATTTACCTTGTAGGTGGTTGTGAACTAACAGATAAACAGGCTTAAAAGGTGCTTGGTATGTATTTGGGACCATGTATTTATTAGCTGCTATTATTTCTTTCTTTTCTGTAATTTCCTGGATCTGTGGGGATGTGAGGAGGGAAAAGAGAATTTGGAGAAAAGTCAAGTCCAACCTGTTTATTGGTGGTTTATAGCTATATTGTATCTTCATTTATATTTATGTCTCCATCTACATTATTTTTAGAAATACTTAGAGAGTTGATTACACTAATGTTGATTAGAACTTGGATCTTTTCATTTATGTAGTGATATATTTGTGTTTGCTCATTTATTGATTAAATACTTACTTGATGAAGACACCAGGCAATTTAAAAATCTGTAGAGAATTTTCCCCTTAAAGAGTCTACAGCCATTTTGTTAATGGTTATGGCCATAAAATTCTGTGAAAGCCCAATAAATAAAATTAATCAGACATATATGGTCTAGGAAAATATTTTGTGAGAAAAATTCCATTTCTGTGCTCAGAAATGGATCTTTCTAGCCACATTGCTATTTGCAATCAATCTTCGAACTAGATGTGATCTTGTTGCTCCCAACTCTTCATCTCACTTTTGCTAATACCTTCCTTTGAAATTGCCTGGCATTTTTAATATGTGCTTCAAGCCTAGGTTGAACGCTTTGACCTCAAGTTATTTACCAAAAGTCTGCTGTCACCCAAACGCCCTGACTCAAATACTTTGCACAAAGTAGTTTAGGGATTGTGAATTACATGGACACAGTCTATTTCATTTTTTGATGTATTTTACCCACAGTGTATTTACATCTATTTCACTTTAAATGTCATTTAACCCACATTAAATTAAAATGCTTTTTCATTTGCCATCTGGGCTTTGCTAAAACACAGGAAGTACGAAGCCACTTTCAAAATAAGGAATCTCACAGAGGACAAACTGTCTCTTGAAAATCAAATAATCATTCTTTGTAAGGATAATGATCCATTTTTTTGTCTTTTATGGGCTTAAATATATTCTTGCTTTATATATTTTTGAACTGCTAGAATAATTCTATCAGGCCTTCCAATATTCTTCACTAAGATCATCAGTGGTTATGAATCATGATTGAAGAAGATGTCTGATAAATGGTTTAACGAAACCACCTGATCCACTGAAAATTGAACTTACTCTTTGACCTGGGTCAGCCATTTACCCCTCTGGGCCATTGTTTTCTTTTGTTAAAAATTTACAACTTTATCCTGGTAAAAGTCAAATAATCTTTCAGGTTCTTCATTTTCAGAAATTCCTGATCTATGTTCTCCGGTATGGTAGCCACTGGCTACATGTGATTACTGAGTTAGTCGAAACTAAAATGTCCTGAAATACATTCCAGATTTTAATGATCAAGGATACAAACATAAAAAGTAAAATTGTTTTAGAAAAAAAAGTTTCCAAAAGTTTAGATTTTGAAGTTAAAACTCTTATTTATCCCAAACAAATAAACCTTACCTGGAAGATATTTCCCACCAAATCCCTCTTCAAGTTACCTTGGGTGAAAGCTTCGTGAAATGCTAAGGTTACCATACTCAAAATGCAAATTCTGTAACATCATCTCAACTCTTATCACCAAAGATGACCAGGAAATGGCCACAATATTAAAAGCCACTATTGCTAGGTGGTGGTGTCTTGACTGAGTTTTCATTCTTTTTTTATTCTTTATCTTTCAATCTTTCAACAGGATGATTTTTTTTCTTTCTTCATCAGAAAAATGCATATCTTTACAGTTTAGCATAATTTTTTTTTAAAAAGAGGATGATGTAAAAGGAAATACACCAAGATGTTTCAATTTGCTTTTATCTATTTCCAAATTTTCTATAGCGAATAAATTACTTCTATCAAGAAAAATATGCTTTGTTTAAAAATTGTAACATCCACCTACTCTTTTAATGTTAAACCTCAGTTAATTTGCATGCTGATTTTCTTAGAACTCCTAAGCTTTTATCTCTGCTACATTAGACTAAATAGTAGATACTTTAGATTTTAGTTTTGATCTTTGATGCCCATACAGATATTTGGGCACTGAGACAGAACAGAATCCAGTGACCATCTATGCAGGAGATGAGGCGAAGATATTTAAACATGCAGGGCACCAGGTTCAGGACTTTAGGCTATGCTGCAAAAATGCCCATCTCAAGGGGTACTCAAGCTGGACATGGTGACACCCTGGCTGTCCGGGAGGCTGACGAGGAGGATCTCTCGTGTCCAGGTGTTTGGGACCAGCCTGGAAAACTTAGAAAGACCAGTCCCTTAAATAAAAATAAAAATAAAATAGGTACCCTATATATCTGAGTCCTACAGCAATGGGTAAAATGACCTTCTGCTCATGGTCCAAATTAGCTCATACAGCTACAGGCACACTCATGGAGCTCAAGTGTGCACATATGTGCACCTCACGTTCACAAGTGGGCAGGACTGTGTCCTATCCAGTCTTCCTGGGCACACCATGGGGCTGCTTCTCTCACCTGCTGTCCACCCTCAGAGACAAGACCTATTCCCTACTTGCCTCTGGACTTGGAGAACGTGTGGTGCTGTGGTGTGTGCCGCTGGTGTGAGTGTGGGTGTGCAGGGCCAGGTGTGCTGTCTGCCCTGCTGGCTCTGGAAAGATCTGGACTTCTTAGGGTCCAATAGGCATGGCTGTTGAGACTGGCAATGATATACTCATTCAGTTTATACTTTTTTTCTTGGGAATAGCTATCTTCTTCCAATCCCATGAGGCAATGAGCCACTTGGGATTGGTAACAGCACCTTTAAGCACAGCAGAACTTACTGTTGGTGGTGAAGATGGCTTCTCCCTCCTGGGGCGTGGGGTCTGCATCCTGGACCACCTGCAGGGCTCCCACAGTCCGGACAGCAGGGTCTAAGGTGACTGAACTTTCGTTCACTGTTGTGTCGCTTGCGCCTGTGATCTGGTTGGTTGGTGGACCTCCCAGAGAGCCCTCGAAGTCAGTGGGTAGGTCGTCCATGCAGTCAGCATTGGGCTGAGGGAGGGAGGGAAGGATCTATTCTTAGAGTGTGTCATCAATTTAGAGATGCTATTATATACCCTAAATATTTTGACTCAAAGAAGTATTAACATTTTTTGTACTGTTTTCTTAAGCTAATTTTTTTGAAAACAGTCTACATTTGCATTAACATGAGAAGATCTTAACATGAGCATGAAAAGATCTTCCAAAATTCATTTTCAAAGTTTCCTCTTACATGTTGGTCTATAAAGTTTTAATTCCAGGAATATCAAGATCTCTACTTTTAAAGAATTAGTTATGGAGAATACATATATTTATTTATGGTGATAGAAGAGCCTTTATACAATGTGCACATCCCACATAGAATAGATAATTATCCCCAAAGATTCCTTCACTGTTTACAAATATACTAATACTCAAGTGTGAATGGGACAGAATTTGACTCATTTTGAATTGTTCCTTAAAGATATATGTACACACAAATACAAGCAAAAATCAACTATAGAAAAACATCCTAAACTTCACATGGAACTGAACATACATTATTAGTCAAATCCTTTAAATTAAATCTTAGAATCAAAAAGCCAGGGTGAGACCATCTTATTCCATCACACTTTCATTACAGTATTTCTCCTCCCTAAAAACATTGACTTCTCCCTTTGAATAGCAAAAGTTGCTCTCTGCCTTGGTAGGCAGGTTGTGTTGGGTACCATCATTGGGCATCTCTGTTATTGGGCAAAATCTTACTCTTTTCAAGTCTCACTCTGATCTTAGTTCTGCTTTTTGAAGTAATAAAGAATATATTTCCCTCTTCCACAAAAAGCTTTTAAAATTACTTTCAGTTGTTGTGTCTTTACCGGAACTTATGAAAATTATTTTTTTTAAAGGTGGTGGTGAAAAGATAGGGTCTTCAGTAATATTAGAATAGCTTTGGTCTGAACTTCACCTTTGTCTTCAAGGATGATGATGACATGTCTTTCCACTCCCAGTGTTTATAGAATGTGAAAAGAATTTGGGGTTGACACTGAATTAGCCTCACAATGATAACACTGTATTCAAAGAGCCTTAAAAGGCAAAACCTACAACTCATGGACTCATGGGGAGCACAGAGCAGATCCAAGTGCTGGACCCTTGCCCAAGCTTTCCCTCCATGGCCGTGTAAGGATGTGTCTTCAGGGACACCCCTGTGTTTCCAGTGATCAGCTGGAAGTCTCCATCATCCCACAAACTCCTCACAGTTACCTTATTCCTTTCTTCTATTCTTCCTTTTTCTCTCTCTGTATCTATTGGAAGTGAGTCATTCATTAAAACTCAATTTGTCAAAAATCAACTTACAGAATGACCATCGAATTTACTATATTTACTGGCTTTGAAATTGGACACAAGCAGGTGTGTTTATGAACATGCCTCCCCATCCCCAATCATCTCCTTTGGGTCTCTTCAGTTCCCTTCAGTCTCATTCTCTTATCATGACATTTTTTTTTTCCCAAAGGAAACACAGGTATGATTCTTCTCTTCTCCCAGGGAGTGGATCACCAGCTCCTTAGCTTGCTGAAACAGATGCTCTGCAGCTGGATCCCACCTACTCTTCTACCTCACCCTTAGCCTTTGGCGAGGGAGCACCATACACCCCCTGTCTCAGGGCTTCAGTTTACACTGTCCCTCTGCTCAGGATGACATTTGCCACAGTCACCCTCCCATTCCCATCCCAGGTCTCACATGATGTCTGGCAAATTCCTAACCACACTTTAAGTCTCAGGCCAATGCCACCTTTTTGGAAGCATGTTCCTTCCCAGGGAGTTGTTCTGAGTGATCTTGGAGCACCTCCTTGACACTCTTCCCACTATGGATGGTCATTTGCTAGTATGTCTGCCTTCTGCTAGTCTACAAGCGGGGTAAAGAGAAGCAGCCATGTCATACTGATCTTGCATTTCAAGCTTTCATATAGTACCATTGATAATTATCAGTTGCTCAATAAATGTTGATTTGAACATTTTATTTGAATCTCAGATTTCTGCTCTGAAAACTTGGGCACATTAGTATCTGCCCAAGATTAATCAAGGGACAATTTGAGAAAATACTTTTGAGAACTGTAAAGTTCTATGTGAAAGAAAAGGTATGCTATTTAACGATGTTCATTAAACAAAAGTAACTGTGTGTGGGGTCCTGGGGTGGAAAGGATTTCATTAGGGGGACATGGTGCTGGGTGTTCATTCAACCATGAAGTGCTGAAAGCAATCCCATGTAACAGCAACTGACGTGCTTTTTGAAACACTGATTCTGGTTGTTGATACTGTTCTTTGATTTCATTTATTTCTTAATTTCCATGCCGCGCATTTCTTTGCTTTTATTTTGTAGGCCAGTAAGAGAGGTGCTAGATCCTCAATAGAGGAGACAGAAGAAGAGAAAAAGCTGATTAGTTGAGTGAGACTCAGTGGTGGCAGGCATGCATAATCTGGCTTGGACATAACATTTAATAGACCATCTTTCCAGAGCCTACCAGTTTTAATCCACTTTCCATGGTTCATCACACAGAATAATGTGTTGTGTTAAAAAGAAACCAAATTTGTACCCTTCTAAGAAAAGTCTCAATCAGAATGTTTCCAAGAGAAATCCAATGCTATCTGCAATTGAACACTGTTTAAGCGTTGAAATTCAGGTCAGCACGGGGAAAACTCTTCAAAGGCTTAACTGCTGACAAACCTGGTGTGTAAACTTGTGGTTACAGAGGATGTTCTGCTCAGTGGTAGTTATCACACTATTCATATCAGGATCACAGAGATAAGGGTGTGTATGCTGGCATATAAAAGACCCCGCCCAGTTCTATGGGACCTGAGAACTGTTTTCCTATAAAGACAGACCTGCCCCTCACTGGGCTGCAAAGAGAACTAAGCACTCTAAGGTAGACAACACTTCTGATAGTAAGGGACTTCTGCCCAGGTGTGGTGGGTACACCTGAAATCCCAGTGACCCTGGAGGCCGAGGCAGGAAGATGGCAAGTTCGAGGCTAGCCTGGGCAATTTAGCAAAACCTTATCTCAAAATAAAAAATAAAAAGGGCTGGGGATGGAGCTCAGTGATAAATCACCCCTGGGTGAATTTCCTGGTCCAAAAAAAAAAAAAAAAAAAACCCACACAAACTTTCTCCTGTTTTCAGTTCATTCTTATATTTCTTTTGGCAAAATATGATGGGAAAAGGCACTCATCGAGATGGGACGTTCAGATCACTGAGGTGTGCTCTCATTCTGTGGTCCAATGTAGAGAATTCAATGATGAAAATTAAATGTCCCAGCTCTTGGTTTTCAACTTATATTTATTTGCCTTATAGCATAGGCAGCCGAATGAACACTCAATCAAAACCAACAAAAATGAAAACCACAAACAAAAATAAGATTCCATATGGATCTGGACAATCTTATGAATCAGAATTACAACCAAGTTGTTTGTGAGTTGACATCGTTTCAAGGGGAAACAGGATGTAATTCACAAATACAGGTCATGCACTGCCAGCCCGCAATACTCTGGAGGGTTACAGTTCTACACATTTATTGAGCTCTTAGCATATATTAGGGATACAGAGTTGGATTAACAGATGTCAATTATCAGAGTGTGACAGGCTCTATCCAATTTTCCTTACAGAAGAAATGGTGTATGAAGATACAGGAAAATTATAAGACAGTGTCTATAAGTTGCATAAAAACGGTTTTAGTTAGCACAGGAAGTATTTTCTAATTAAGGCTGTGCGCATATCCAATGATACGGGAAGCTATTAGAATGAACAGAAGTCATATCATTGGTATATTTTAGGCATACTGTTCCCCAAGGGTAGGGCAGAATGAAATGAAACCCCAAATTCCTGCTGGATTCTGACTTTATCATTCTCTAGGACAAAAAACGGAAGAGCCCCGGAGACAGGGAGGCTAACCATGTGTCTTGGTGCTTCATCAGAGTTGCACACACCACGGGCCTTCTTCATGGAGGATGTTCTGTTCTGTGGGGCAGGCTCGGATGTATCTCATGTTCTTATTTGGGTGGCCTTTAAAATTCCTTGGCAAAATCCAAAAGATGCTACTGATGTTTCTTTTTCTGGGAATCGAGTATGCTAAGCAAAATCCTATCCAGACAAGTGTCAGGCCTCAAACCATGGCCAGAATATGCTCAATTGCTAAAAATTAAAATGTTATTACATTTGGAAATGAGCCCAAAGGCCACTTAATAATTCTGCTTGAGCAACAGTAAGAGTGATAATTCATAACTTCTTTACAAGTACCTTCTGGAGAAACTGTACCCATGTGGGAGTTATATTTGAAGCCAAATATTATTTAGTACAGAATTTAACTCAGAGGATTGTCACAAGGAGTGGTAGGACAAACACAATCTTGAAAAATATCCTGAACAATAGGAACCAGATGAAAGGATGCAACTGTGTCCTTTAATTGTGAGGATTCTGAAGACTTCAGACACCAAGGACACACAGGCACATGCAAGCACACACATATGCACATTTCCCCTTCCATCAAACAACTGGTCACAGCTAGAGATGTGAAAACTGCCAAAACTGGGTTTGATTTTTTTTAAGTCACCAGTTTTTGGTAGTGATGTTGGGTTTTCACTAACATTTCACATTCTCTGTAATTGATTTTCACCTTGAATGCACTACGCATTAGCAACTCTGATCTGAAAATTTAATGCATTGCCTTTGAAATCTAGCTCAAAGCTCCAGCCACGTGAGTTGATTTGTGTTTTGTGTATTGATCGTGAAAACCAGCACACAGCTGGCACGGGGCAGCTGATGCAGGGTGAGAAACCCAGCCAGTGCATGTCCCCAGAATACATCGGGGTGTCTTCTCTAACAGTCACTCTGAAGTTCCTAATTAGCCCTTTGGCATTAAGGAAGACTTTGATATGTGATCTGATGCCTTGCTTTTTCAGTGGCATCTTGTGACTGTGAACATTCTCTTTGTTCTCTGCCATTAGTAGTGAGACATGACAAACAGGCAGGTTGCAGCAAATACAGCGGGATGCGGGTGGCTGGCTCTGTGTGTTTGTGCGGCTTCTTTTAGACAGTGCCTTATGTTTTTGCACATCTCTGAGACTGGCTCATTTCCTACCCTCTTCTGCTTAGAGGGGATAACACACAGCAGCTGGTGCCTCACCAGCCACCACTTGTGGGGTTCACTTGATACTGTCCCAGGAAAGTCTTTCACTGGAGCATCAAGCCAGCTGGCGGGTTCTCCTTGCATTGGAGAGAGCTTTTGAAAACACGTGACTGAGGGAAGCAGCTTAATAATAGTGCAAAACTTAAGTGTCTCTGGCTCTGCTTTCCTGTTTGCCCAAGCTCTCTGCAGAGATCTGGGTTAACAGAGGTCTGGAGCCTGGTTCTCGGCCGCTGTCCTGCCCTCCCTTAGCTGGAAGGGACTTGTTGCCTCCCAAAAGTAGGTGACCATGGGGCAACACCTGAAAGTGTGGCATGCAGATCTCTTTGATGTCTAGGCTGGGGTGATGACCACAGAGGTGGTCAATGTGCAGTGGCCCAGCATACCTCTGCTGGTGTCCCAGCTGCCCTCCAAAAAGACGCCTGTGAGCTGCACCAGTGGCATCTTGACTCATGGACAAATTCAATGGATGTGGTGGAATGGGTGATGTCCTCAGATTGAGAAAAAGTGACAGGAGAAATGTTTTCAAACATGGAGTTCTCTTGGGGCCTCATTGGATGACATCATTGCTATGTGACTGAGAGGACATAGAAAATCCAGGTAAGAAGCTTTCTCACTGCTCTGGGGGTAAAGCAGAAAGACAGACATTACGATGGTGTAGGCTGTGCTGTGCTTACCGGGATCCCTAGGGCTTTAAGAATGTTCATCTTGCACATGGGGCAGGTGCGATGGTCTAGAAGCCAGGGGTCAACACAGGACTTGTGGAAAAGATGCCTGCAATGAGAACCATACATCTTAGAGCGGTGGTGGCAGCAGAGACTACCTGTTCCACTATAGACCAGCAGCCTGCCCAAGGTCCCTCAATTGCTGGATGGGTGGCAGGTCCAAGACTCGAAACTCAGTCACCTAGTTCCTGGACCACTGGGTTTCCCACTATATCCTGTCCAAAATCTGTGTGGATCCCGGGATTGACCTATCTGATTTGCAATGGACTCTTCCACGTTTCAGACAGTATAGAGAATGTAGAAACTGAGGGATTTCTCTCTTCCTCAATACAAGGAACGTTTAATGGTAAGAACACAAGTGGCGAAACCTGAATAGACCCTGCAGGATGACTTGGTAGAGGCTATTTTTTAAAAAAAAAATCCAAATTCCATTTCCCACAGTCAGAAGACTACTGCAAAGTAGAGGCTGACTTTCATGAATATTTGGGTCAAACATAAAGGGCGTAAGAGCTCCTGGGAGCATTTAATAACACAAATGACTTCCTCGTTGTCATGGCTGCTGTCAGGTCAGGAGACAGCGTGAGGGGCTCTGTGGTTCCCCTGGGGGTGCCTGTGGCTGGCTGCACCTTGGTGTGCTCCATCAGGTGGCCAATCTTATGTGCCAGTTGGGGCCTTCATATGATGGCAGAAGGTGGGCATGAGGAGGGTTTCCTAACAGAACTTTCTCTCAACTCGACTCACAAAATCCCACACACAGATATCAGGAGCTTCTAACTCACAAGACTCCATACCATGCATAAAAGCAGTCAGAATTTCCTGCCTGAAGCAAGGAGAGAGAACATTGCCAGTTTTCAGTAGGAGAGCTTTCTAGGACATTCCATCCGGGCCTGCATCTGTCTGCTGCATAGAGCTCTATTCTTGAATCCTTCCATTCTGTTCTCTCATTTTCATCTTCTTCTGTTCTAACAGTTCTGAAAAAAAACTAATTTGCTTTGTATTAAGAGGCTTTGGGTTCAAATGCTTAAAAAGTACCCCCATATTAGAGAAGAGTCTTGGAAATGCCAGGGTTTAGATAGAAATCCATAAGAACTCAAGTGCTGAGGACAGGACGAGGGGTACACAGGGTGGGATCAGACTGGGAACTAGAAAAGCAGAGGAGCAACAGGCTGTGCTGTTCTATTTCCAGATCATTGTCCAGAATGCCCTGCAGATCAACTGCTTAGAAAGCATATATCTCATTCATTCTTTCCTTTATTCATTTGTTTATTTAGCAGGTAGTATACGCCAAGAACTGGGCTCAGTACCATGAATCAGCACAACAATGACTTAGGTCCTTTCCTCAGAACAACGGGAATGGCAGATATGAATAAAATAGTATTTGAATAGACTACTTGGTGAAAATAATACCACTTTCGAAGGTCAGAAGGTTTGGAGGTGGGGCTTAAAGTGTGAGATTTATCCAAGTTCAGAGAAGATTTTCCTGAGGAAGTGACACAGCCCCGAGCTGGGCACTGGAAGGCAGCCAGGCCACTATGTGTGGGGGTGGGTGTGGGGGGGGGGGGGGGGGGGGTGGGGGAACAGGGCCACAAGGAGAAGGGTGACTGGTACCTGGGGATGAAACCACTCCCTGTACCCCAGGAAGCAAGGCTGACCTCCCTAGGTTAAGGTTCCATGATTACTCAGGAAACAAGGGCCTAATTGAAACTTGCTCACCAACTGGTGGTGCTCTTGGGGAAAAGGTCAGACATCCTGGTCCCATTTGAACATTCCTGGGAGGCAGATGACTCATCTGTTTTCTGCACAAGTGCAGGAATAAGGATGGTGACAGCACCAACCATTAGGGCTTTAACATTTTGGCCTGCATTTATTCTCGAGGGCCCCTGGTGATTTCTGCACATCAGCTTTCTCTCCTCTGTGATGGCTGGTATTCCTGTGCCAACTCTCAGTGCTATTGTACCCAGCTGTTCAGTCAATACTAATTCAGGTGTTGCTGTGAAGGTGTTTTGCAGATGTGGATAGTATCTACAGCTGGTTGACTTTAAGGAAAGGAGATTATCCTCAGCAATCTGGGTGGGCCTTATCAATCATTTGAAAGGTTTTCAGAGCAAAGCAAAGTTTTCCCTGAAAAGAAATCCTGCGAGACTATAGCATCTGCTCCTGGCCCAAGAATTTGCAGCCCTAGGCCTGCTCTGCAGACTTCAGACCTAACAGCCCTTTTCCCCATGCAAGTCAATTTCTGGAAACACCTCTCTATATATTGGGCGCTCTCTCTCTCCCACTGTTCAGTTTTCCTGGAGAATCCCGAGACATCCTCCAGTTAGTATACAAGGTCAACAAGAGCAAAGTCCACATTTGTTTGATTCCCTCTTGTATCCTGGCATCTCCATTAGTTTCTGGTACGCAGCTGATGCTCAGGGCACATTTGCCACGCGAGTGGATATCTACTCATTCAAGGACCCGCCCTCTCCCAGCCTCTGCTGGCTCATCAGCTTTCATCTGTGCACTCTTCCCGTCTTCGCCCATTCACGGCTTCTCTGCTCTCCTCCGTGGCTCCCTCATTCACCATTCCATCATCTTTCTCCCTGTATTACTGCAGGAGCATCTTAGCTGCTCTCTGAGCTGCCAGGACTTTCCTGTTCTCTTCATCCCACTCGTTGTTGCCAGATTTATCTTCCTAAAATAGAGCCCCAGCTATGTCACCCTCTTGTTCCGTTCTGTTCTGTGCCAGGAGCTGGGTACAGGGATGAATAAGACAAGGCCTCTCCCTACAAGGCACAGCCCCCCAGACTTGTCAACTAAAGCCTTGTCAACTAAAATGAAAAGACCAAGGAAAGTTTATAATCCTGGGTTCACTGTTATTTTGTTATTTTCAGTCTTAGGCAATTCACCTTAGCTCTCTAAGACTCAGTATCTCATGGTGAAATTTCATCTTGTAGGTTTCGAGTTTGCAAGTGAATGACTGTGGTGGTGGTGGTAGTTGGAGGTGGGTAGAAAACACTGCCCACAAAGCTTAAACACAATTCTTGGTACTCCTCCATATTCAGCCATCATTCATCTTATTAATAGCACTCTACTGCACCTTAATTTCAGAAATTATGATTACTATGATTTCCATACTTCAGTAGAACCATTTTAACATAGAAAGCAAATAACTACAATTTTAAAAATTATGAACTAAGAGAAAAAAAGAAAAAAGACATATAGGGCAGTCATGGTACGATTAACAAATATTTATTAATTTCTAGCACCATATTTCTTGTGCCAGTCACCTAATATGTAAACTATATCTTCATAATTAGGGTTGTGAAATAGTTTTCCCCTTCTAAATGGAAAGAAAAAGTCACTAAAGGAATAGAAAAAGAATCTAGAGTTAAATGAAACAGGTCAACAGTTCAGGAAACACCTGTAAGGTGCAATCTGAACACATTTTATTTGTTCAATTCACAGCAGAGCCCTGACCGTTCCCACATTTTAACAAGTGCTGCCTAGAAAGGACATAAAGGGGAACAGGAAGGACACATAGAGGAGAAATAGGTCATGACAGTCTATCTCTTAACAGTCCTAACAAATTGGAAATATAACAGAAGGTTATGTAGGAGGAAGACTCAAACTTTTCCTCCTGTTCATCAAAGGGAGGCAAATACTGTGGAAAGAGTTCAACACAGCTGGGCACAGTGACACATGCCTGTAACCCAGCAGCTTGGAAGGCTGAGGCAGGAGGATTGCAAATTCAAGGCCAGCCTCGGTGACTTAGCAAGAGCCTCAGCAACTTAGAGAGACTCTGTCTCAAAAAAAATAAATAAAAAGGGCTGGGAATATGACTCAGTGGTAAAGTGCCCCTGGGTTCAATCCCCAATCCCCCTGCCCCCCAAAAAGGAAAAGAAAGAAGAAAGAGTTCAACGCCTACAAGTGCAAGTGAGGATGCTCACGATTACAGGATGATGCTGAGATGATTACAAATAACAAATGCCTACATTTTTAGCAATATGACAAACCAAGCTAAACTAATCTCCACATCTATTGATTCTGGTTCTCTGTTGTTCTTTCACCTAGTTGTGTGATTCCCTCCCCTATGAAGTGACATTTCTTCTCTGCCCAGAGAAGGAAGAGGTCTTTGTGTTTGTTCAATCTCATCCACTTTTATTGGTTTCTTCGACCCTGCCACCCTGCAGCTGAGATTAGGATTCTGTGGGTGTTGGTACCAACGCAAGCTGTTTCATTCTCCTTAATGAAAGCTTATTAAAGAATGTGAGTCACTCAGGTACCTGAGAATCCCATACTGCCAGGCAACATCGACTATTTAAAACAGATACCCAGAGCATTGATGGGTAGCTGAAATGTTCCTTCAGAGCCTCTGTGTCTTATATGCAAAGTTGTCAATGAAACCAGGGTGAGTTTTAAATGGAAAAACCCCACCGACAGTGTCTGCCACCTCCTGTGTCCCTATCATGTACCAGGCATGTGACATACAGAACTGATTCACAACCAGCCTTTGAGCTGAAAATTATTAGACTAGTTTTATGGAGGAGGAAGTTCAAGTTCATTAAAGAAAGTTCCCTAAAGAGTTGGTAAGCTGTAGGAGAGAGGACTCAAACCCAGTCCTAACCTTGTTATAAAGTCAGTGCTTTTACCGATTCTGTATTCCTTGGGTCTTCTTGCCATGAGTTATGGGTAAGAGGGTAGATGAAAGCATTCATACTTTTATTTTATTTTTTTACAATGAACTTCTGTCCTCCAGCTTCAAGTGCTTGACCTCTCTGAGCTTCAGTTTCCTCATTTATAAGATGAAGATAATAATAGCATCCATCTGAGGCCCTCAATACTGTTCTTCCAATATGCCAGCTCTCCCTCTTTTAGGTACCCAGAAAGACCACAGGTTCTCCTAGTGGCAGCTGTAGTCATGTAAGTAATTCTATCCGATAAGCTACAAAGAAAATAATCAGTTTTACTTTGGGATGTGGCACTTAATGATTGCTCTGTCAATTAGCAATTGCTCTGTCAGTTAGCATTATAACTTGCAGGTTATAATGAAAGTTATGAGTGACTGCA